CTCTATGTTGATGACTTCGCTATTGCTTGTGCAGGCGCTGACTGTCATCTCATTGCAGTTTCTCTCCAGCATGCGGTCGACCGTGTTTCCACTTGGGCCACCACGCATGGGTTTCAATTTTCCAGTACCAAAACTCACCAAATTACTTTCACTAGACGCCCTGTCATCTCCGATCATCCTTTGTATCTCTATGGCTCCCGTATCCCCGAACGTGATACAGTCAGGTTTCTAGGCCTTCTCTTTGACCGTAGGTTATCCTGGAAACCTCACATTACCTCTCTGAAGGCAACTTGTTACAGCCGGATAAACCTTAAAACCCTTGCTCATCTTTCCTGGGGAGCTGATCGTCGAACTCTGCTTCGCCTACATTCAGCCCTCGTTTTATCAAAACTCGATTATGGTGACCAGATTTATTCCGCGGCCTCTCCTGCTGCTCTAGCCTTAACCCCATCCATCACCAAGGATTACGTTTGTGCCTTGGTGCTTTTCGCTCTTCCCCTGTTGAGAGCCTCTATGTAGAAGCGAATGTTCCATCCTTGTCTGATCGCCGTGATGCCCATTGCCTTCGCTACTATGTACGCTCTCACGATCTCCACAATCCTTCCATTTATAGAATGGTCACCGATATTAGTAGACATTCTTTATTTGTTCGCCGCCCCTGTTTGCTCTGTCCCTTTTCTCTTCGCCTACATTTGCTCTTGTCTTCCCTTCAGTTACCACCTTTATATGTTCATGTAGCATGTCACTTTTCCCTACCTCCCTGGGAAGTTCCAGCTGTTCGGGTCTGTTCTTTCTCACTCCCTTGCTCGAAAGCCCAACTACCTACGGTGGCTTCCCGCTCTCTTTTTCTTGATCACTTCCACTCTCATTCTCATGCCATCGCTGTGTACACAGATGGCTCTAAGTCTTCTGACGGCGTCGGATTCGCAGCAGTGTTTCCGGACAGTGTCGTGCTTCCGGACAGCGTCGTGCGGGGGCATTTACTATCTTCGGCTAGCATTTTTACTGCTGAATTGTGTGCCATTCTTGCAGCACTTATTCATATCGCATCTATGCCTGTGTCATCATTTGTGGTAGTCTCAGACTCCTTTAGTGCTCTACAGGCTATACGAAAATTTGATACATGTCACCCCCTAGTTCTCCGTATCCAACTTTGGCTACGCCGTATCTCTACCAAGCATAAAGATATTGTTTTTTGTTGGGTCCCTGGTCATGTCGATGTACAGGGCGACGAGGGCTCTGGTGGCCTGGTGGCTAACGCTCTCGCTTCATACGGCGAGGGCCTGGGTTCGATTCCCAGCCAGAGTAGAAATGTTGGACGTGTTTCTTTCCACCTGTTGTCTATGTTCCCCATCAGTAAAATGGGTACCTGGGTGTTAGTCGACTGGTGTGGGTCGCATCCTGGGACACTGAACTAATTTGCCCGAAATGCGGAGCATAACTAGGGAGTTTCTATATAGTAGTATGTCATTGTTGTCAGCTAGGACTGTATACCTTGTACATATACTTGTAGTAAATAAAGATATTATGTTAACAGGCAGACACTGCTGCGCGGTCAGCAGTACATGACCTACCAATTTCCTATAGAGGTGTTCCATTTCTGGACTATTTTGCTGCAATAGCTACCCACCTTCACACCCGTTGGAAACAACGTTGGTCAACTCTGCTTGGTAACAAACTTCATTCTATTAAACCGAGCATAGGTTACTGGCCGTCTTCTTGTCATCAGTGCCGAGGTTGGGAGACCACTCTCTCCCGCCTTCGCATTGGCCACACTCGTCTTACTCATGGGTATCTCATGGAGAGACACCCTGTTCCTCTCTGTGAGCAGTGTCAAGTTCCAGTATCGATTAGCCACATTCTGTTAGACTGCCCTCTCTATCAACGAGCACGCAGAATTTACCTCCAACGTCGTCTTCGTTCTACTACTCTCTCTTTACCTTCCCTTCTTGCTGATGGACCCTCCTTTAATCCTGACTCTCTCGTTGACTTCTTGACAACGACTGATTTACTCCACAAACTCTGATGATGATATCTTTCGCACTCCCCTTAGCCCTTTCTAGCTCAGTCTCTTGCTGCCCTCTGCCCTTTTTGATTTTAGATACCTCCACATGGAGAAGTGACCAATACCACTCTGAAGTGTGTCAAGTCTCACTGCCCATACAACATATCCTAATAGATTATTCTGTCTATCAGAATACAAGCAGGATCCATTTTCAACAGCTTAGTCACCCCAGCACATTCATTCTTACTGGCCTCATTGAATGTCCCACCTCTGATGCAAAGTCTCTTTGACTTATTAAGCTAAAACTAACCTAGTGCACCAACTTACACTTCAATTTTCTTCTTGCATTAACCTCTAACTTCGCAAAACCCCGTTCCTCTTGTTCACTCTAAACCTTCGTACATCCATCCATCAGTGCAGTATGACCCTTACGAGTGTTTAAGTACTTAAATTGATATTAGTAATAACAATAATGGACCAATCCTTTCTTTCCTATAATTAAATCTAATTACCTTCCTTGTGGAATTATCACTTTTCCTTAAATATGACTCTTACAGGATGCCGCTTCGCCATATATATATATATAAAATATATATATATATTATATATATATATATATATATATATATATATATATATATATATAATTTAGGACCTGTACTGATTTAGTACTGACTTTTAACTATAGATACGGGAGGTATTGAGTGAAAACATCTGTGATACTGGCAGTATCAGCACGTGATATACGATATCTGTTGTGTTAATAACAGCAAACACACTTATCACTATCCATTACCCCTGGCACCCTTCATGGTGCCTGCCTTATCAAGGTAACATGCTCTTCATCTAAGGAATAGAATTACCTTTCACTTCCTTGGATCCAACCTGATTGCTTCCCATGCCTCAAAGCATGATCGAACAGGTTTAGTACCCCCTCAGGGAAGGTTCCTTGATGTTGGTGAGGGGCTTTTGATTTAGGGAATTGGATCTGTGCTCCAGTTCCCCGAATTAAGCCTGAATGCCTTCCCCCAGGCGCTGTATAATCCTACGGGTTTAGCGCTTCCCCTTGATTATAATAATAATAATAATAACAGGCTTAAAACTACTCTTTCCTTTCAAGGGATTGACCCCTCAAGGAAGGTTCCTTGATGTTGGTGAGGGGCTCTTGATTTAGGGAATTGGATCTGTGCTCCAGTTCCCCGAATTAAGCCTGAATGCCTTCCACATCCCCCCCCCCAGGCGCTGTATAATCCTCCGGGTTTAGCGCTTCCCCCTTGATTATAATAATAATTATCAAGGGTTTGAGTTTTAAGGCGCGTCAGTTTTCCCCTGTCTCCTAATATCATGTTATTTTTCCACTATAATCTACCTTGTCCATAATTACTATCGTATTTACTTTCTTTCATAAGGTGAAGTTCAGGATCTTGACTTAATTCATGGTATAACTTAACAAATCTCTGAGGACAATTGTAGAGGTGTGAGCAAAGTTCAGACCTCTACAATAATTGTCCTCAGAGATTTGTTAAGTTATACCATAAATTAAGTCAAGATCCTGGACTTCACCTTATGATAGATTAGATTTTGCCACCGAAGTGGCTAGTTTATTGTGCACCCCATATCCATCCTGTGGACGGTAGCGCGAGAGCATATGAATACACAAAAGGCCTAGGAACTAGGCCCCAAAGGGTTAACAGGAATACATATGGATTTATATCTACATATCTATAGTTCACTTATCTGTTACAAGCAAATTTAGGAAATTTGCTTAGTATATCTGGTATCTTATTTTCATTAATAAGATATCTTGACATGTCACATAGGTTATTATACTGTCTGTCTCTGTATTCCTCAATAAGTGGACAATTAAGCACATAGTGTTCAAGAGAGTGACCATATGCCTGATCACATAATTTACTTTTAGTTTGATCATCATCTGTGTGTCTCCCAAACTGCCAGAAGTACTTGTAACCAAGCCTAAGCCTGGCCACTACAACATCAGTCAGTCTGTTCACATTGCAAGTTGCTCCATAAACATACTTATCTACGTTCATGTTATCATAGTGGGTTATAGATCTACTCAGGCTTCTAACTGCATTCCTATAACAATCATTTTCATTATTTACTTCTCTCCTAATATTATTCCTAATGCTAGACACAGTTATCCCAAAGTTATATTCTACATTCTCCTTCTGGGTACTCTTCTTGGCTAACATATCAACTTTATCATGAAGGAGTAATCCAATGTGTGATGGGATCCATAGCAATTGTACATTAATTCCTTTGTCCCTAATTTTTGAGTATCTATACCTGGCTTCCCCAATGAGCATGTTGTTGGAGTCATTATATGAGTCAAGAGCCTTCAATGATGAAAATAGAATCAGTAATGATGATAGAGTCAAGCTCAGTTGTCATAGGTTAGCTTTAGGCGCCATTAGGATTGCAAACAATTCATTTTGGGGCAGTGAAAGACGCCCATTTGTTAATTCTTACGCCTAACTCAACAATTTATTATCGTTCTTAACTAGGGAGGTGGCAACAAGAGCAGATGCAGCCCTGCCAGAAGACTCCTGTTTAGATCCATCGTGTATATAACTTGTGATAACTTGTTACTACAGCTAGGTGAGAAATTTCTTCTTGAGCAGTTGCTCTAACAAGAGATTTAAGGAAGGGATTACTAGCCAATGAGCTTCTTGGAGGGACTTGTAGGTATGTGATATTAAATGAACACATCTTCCATGGGGGGGTAAATGCTCTTGTTCCCCTACAGTGATACAGTTCATGCAGGTTATAAAACTTAATGCAATTGCACGTTTTCACAATCCATTTAGATCTGTGTGTATTTACCTCTAGCACTTGGTAAGATTCACTGTGACAGTGTCTGGTTCGTTTCTCAACATTCTAATACCGAGTACAGTGTTAATTTCAAAAATCCTATCACTGATACTAGAAATACCAAGCTCCTTCCTCATGTTTAAAAACTTTTGTAGATCTGGGACAGCCAAGAATAATCCTGAGAGCTTCATTTTTCATTAACTCCAAGGGTCGGAAAGAACTTTCTCTAGCTAATGTCAACATGGGAGCAGCATAATCAATTAAGGACCTAACATAGGCTATGTACATCATTCTCACGATTCTCACATTTGCACCATAGTTGGGATTGTAGCCAGCAACAGCTTTGAGAGCATTTAGCCTAGCTTTACATTTCTTGTTTAGTTGTGGTATAGTGGATTTGTTAAAGGGTACATCTACACCAAGATATCTGTAAGTTTTAACGTAGCTAATGATTTCACCCTGCAAATAGATGGGTGGGGGATGTCGTTTGCTTGTTAATATCTTAGTTTTAGAGGAAGATATTATGAGGCCTAGTCGATTACAAATTGCTTGAACTTCATTAAGAATGGTATTCATCTTCTTATGCCCTATTGTATGGATCATGATATCATCAGCATAGCTTATGTGTTAGTGGTGGGTAAATCAGTGTGACGTCTCAGTAGCGCTGTGGGTGGCAGCGTTAGTGGTGGGTACATCAGTGTGACGTCTCAGCAACACTGTGGGTGGCAGTGTTAGTGGTGGGTACATCAGTGTGACGTCACAGTAACACTGTGGGTGGCAGTGTTAGTGGTGGGTAAATCAGTGTGACGTCTCAGTAGCGCTGTGGGTGGCAGTGTTAGTGGTGGGTACATCAGTGTGACGTCTCAGCAACACTGTGGGTGGCAGTGTTAGTGGTGGGTACATCAGTGTGACGTCTCAGTAGCACTGTGGGCGGCAGTGTTAGTGGTGGGTACATCAGTGTGACGTCTCAGTAGCACTGTGGGTGGCAGTGGTAGTGGTGGGTACATCAGTGTGACGTCACAGTAACACTGTGGGTGGCAGTGTTAGTGGTGGGTACATCATTGTGACGTCACAGTAACACTGTGGGTAGCAGTGTTAGTGGTGGGTACATCAGTGTGACGTCTCAGTAGCACTGTGGGTGGCAGTGGTAGTGGTGGGTACATCAGTGTGACGTCACAGTAACACTGTGGGTGGCAGTGTTAGTGGTGGGTACATCAGTATGACGTCTCAGTAACACTGTGGGTGGCAGTGTTAGTGGTGGGTACATCAGTGTGACGTCTCAGTAGCACTGTGGGTGGCAGTGTTAGTGGTGGGTACATCAGTGTGACATCTCAGTAGCACTGTGGGTTGCAGTGTTAGTGGTGGGTACATCAGTGTGACGTCTCAGTAGCACTGTGGGTGGCAGTATTAGTGGTGGGTACATCAGTGTGACGTCTAGTAACACTGTGGATGGCAGTGTTAGTGGTGGGTACATCAGTGTGACGTCTCAGTAGCACTGTGGGTGGCAGTGTTAGTGGTGGGTACATCAGTGTGACGTCTCAGTAGCACTGTGGGTGGCAGTGTTAATGGTGGGTACATCAGTGTGACGTCTCAGTAGCACTGTGGGAGGCAGTGTTAGTGGTGGGTACATCAGTGTGACGTCTCAGTAGCACTGTGGGTGGCAGTGCTAGTGGTGGGTACATCAGTGTGACGTCTCAGTAGCACTGTGGGTGGCAGTGCTAGTGGTGGGTACATCAGTGTGACGTCTCAGTAGCACTGTGGGTGGCAGTGTTAGTGGTGGGTACATCATGTGACGTCTCAGTAGCACTGTGGGTGGCAGTGTTAGTGGTGGGTACATCAGTGTGACGTCTCAGTAGCACTGTGGGTGGCAGTGCTAGTGGTGGGTACATCAGTGTGACGTCTCAGTAGCACTGTGGGTGGCAGTGTTAGTGGTGGGTACATCAGTGTGACGTCTCAGTAGCACTGTGGGTGGTAGTGCTAGTGGTGGGTACATCAGTGTGACGTCTCAGTAACACTGTGGGTGGTAGTGCTAGTGGTGGGTACATCAGTGTGACGTCTCAGTAGCACTCTGGGTGGCAGTGTTAGTGGTGGGTACATCAGTGTGACGTCTCAGTAGCACTGTGGGTGGCAGTGCTAGTGGTGGGTACATCAGTGTGACGTCTCAGTAGCACTGTGGGTGGTAGTGCTAATGGTGGGTACATCAGTGTGACGTCTCAGTAGCACTGTGGGTGGCAGTGCTAGTGGTGGGTACATCAGTGTGACGTCTCAGTAGCACTGTGGGTAGCAGTGTTAGTGGTGAGTACATCAGTGTGACGTCTCAGTAGCACTGTGGGTGGCAGTGCTAGTGGTGGGTACATCAGTGTGACGTCTCAGTAGCACTGTGGGTGGCAGTGCTAGTGGTGGGTACATCAGTGTGACGTCTCAGTAGCACTGTGGGTAGCAGTGTTAGTGGTGGGTACATCAGTGTGACGTCTCAGTAGCACTGTGGGTGGCAGTGCTAGTGGTGGGTACATCAGTGTGACGTCTCAGTAACACTGTGGGTGGCAGTGCTAGTGGTGGGTACATCAGTGTGACGTCTCAGTAGCACTGTGGGTGGCAGACTTGATGACGGTAGTATTATACACCTTTTTTCCTAGCATCGCTTCCTCTTCCTCCTCCTCTGTGTCTTCTTTATCCTTGTGTTTTGCCTCTGTTAAAAGATTAATGACGGTTACATAAGTCCCGACTGTTTAACAGACTGTCACTATTTCTGCAACTGAGAGTTTAGCGCTTCCCCATGAATATAATAACTAGCGTAAATAAAAATCCCAGAGGGATTTTATGAGAAAATCCTGAAGGAACTTTTTTAAAGGTCCCAAAGGAACTCTATAAGAAAGTCGTGAAGGCTTCTCACCTCTCTCTGCAACCTTCTTCTTGAGGTAGGTGAAGTGAATAATGGCGTAGAGGAAACCACAAGCCAGGGAGATGAACCCGAAGATCCTGAAGGCCCTGGAGGTGCTGTACCTACTGATGAGGAATCCTCCCAGCAGAGCCCCCACTCCACGACCTGTAGCACCACAATGTTAGTCTCTCTGGCTTTATTTTCTTTCTTTCTTTTCCGTTTCTCACACGAGCTCTATCTTTTTTAACCTTCAGTCTCTCTCTCTCTCTCTCTCTCTCTTCTCTCTCTCCTCTCTCTCTCTCTCTCTCTCTCTCTCTCTCTCTCTCTACTGTACTCTTTCATGCAAAACATACGGTATTTAGACTATAATTTCATTTACACCATATCCAATTTTCAGCACTAATTACTTTCAATATTTGTTAGCACATAACTATTATCTCTTAATTCACCATTATATAATAGAGAATCAGAGACCCACCTAGAGAGTAGTGGATGGCACCTGCCAGACCAGTCATGGTTGCTAGAAGACCCTTGGGTGCCAGTAATGGGCAGTAACTTAGTGCTGCTAGCCACATCAACTGATAGGTGAACACTTCCAGGATTTCGAAAGGGAAGGCTAGCCACGGGTCACTGTCGAGGGTAACAGTTAATGTTAAGAACATTTGAGAATAGTGAAGTACTGTAGCTCGGTATTTCTTCCCATTTTTGCATGTATAAATAACCCTTGACGATTGTAACCAGGATAAATACTTAAATTATTCATTATCATTGTAACTAACTTAGCTATCAACACTTTGGGGCCCAGTTCCTTGGACCCATTGTCCCTCTGTAATATTTTGATTACAACCCATACCCATGTTATGGGTTGTAATCAAATTATGCTACCCATACCATGGGTATGGGTAGCATAATTAAGACATTAAACTAACTTCTCACTGTTGATACGTGATATAAACCTTAGTAACTGATAACAAGAAGTGGTTTAGAAAGGCATGTGACCAACACTAAGACACATTTATTAGAAAACGTTTCGGTTCTGTGACCTTGATCACAAGGTTCAGGGTCAGGTAGGGTCGCCAGGTGGATCATCGTTATCAAGGTCCCAGGACAGGATCGTTTTCTAACGTGTTTTGATGCTTGTTGTCGTCCTATTTTAAGCACTACTGACACATATTAGGCAGGTTCAACTCATACCCACCTACATCCACGATACAGAGCCTACTAGACTGGAGAATACACTAGACCTCATCTTCACTAACAATGATGATCTGATAAGAAATGTCACCATATCAAAAACAATATACTCAGATCACAACATAATTGAGGTTCAGACATGTATGCGTGGAGCCCCAGACCGACAAAATGAGACTAGTCACGAGGGAGCATTCACCAAATTCAACTTCAATAACAAAAACATAAAGTGGGACCAAGTAAACCAAGTCCTAACCGATATAAGCTGGGAAGATATACTAAGCAACACAGACCCAAACTTATGCCTAGAACAGATTAACTCGGTGGCACTCGATGTATGCACAAGGCTTATTCCTCTAAGAAAAAGGAGGAGTAGATGTAAAATAGAAAGAGACAGGCGCTCCCTTTACAGGCGACGGAAAAGAATAACAGAGCGGCTAAAAGAGGTCAATATATCTGAAATGCGCAGGGAGACACTGGTCAGAGAAATAGCAAGCATCGAACTTAAGCTAAAAGAATCCTTTAGAGTCAGGAATCGCGGGAAGAACTAAAAGCCATAAATGAAATCGAAAGAAACCCAAAGTATTTCTTCTCCTATGCCAAATCAAAATCGAGAACAACGTCCAGTATTGGGCCCCTACTTAAACAAGATGGGTCCTACACAGATGACAGCAAGGAAATGAGTGAGCTACTCAAGTCCCAATATGACTCAGTTTTTAGCAAGCCGCTAACCAGACTGAGAGTCGAAGATCAAAATGAATTTTTTATGAGAGAGCCACAAAATTTGATTAACACAAGCCTATCCGATGTTATCCTGACGCCAAATGACTTCGAACAGGCGATAAATGACATGCCCATGCACTCTGCCCCAGGGCCAGACTCATGGAACTCTGTGTTCATCAAGAACTGCAAGAAGCCCCTATCACGAGCCTTTTCCATCCTATGGAGAGGGAGCATGGACACGGGGGTCGTCCCTCAGTTACTAAAAACAACAGACATAGCCCCACTCCACAAAGGGGGCAGTAAAGCAACAGCAAAGAACTACAGACCAATAGCACTAACATCCCATATCATAAAAATCTTTGAAAGGGTCCTAAGAAGCAAGATCACCACCCATCTAGAAACCCATCAGTTAAACAAACCCAGGGCAACATGGGTTTAGAACAGGTCGCTCCTGTCTGTCTCAACTACTGGATCACTACGACAAGGTCCTAAATGCACTAGAAGACAAAAAGAATGCAGATGTAATATATACAGACTTTGCAAAAGCCTTCGACAAGTGTGACCATGGCGTAATAGCGCACAAAATGCGCGCTAAAGGAATAACAGGAAAAGTCGGTCGATGGATCTATAATTTCCTCACTAACAGAACACAGAGAGTAGTCGTCAACAGAGTAAAGTCCGAGGCAGCTACGGTGAAAAGCTCTGTTCCACAAGGCACAGTACTAGCTCCCATCTTGTTCCTCATCCTCATATCCGACATAGACAAGGATGTCAGCCACAGCACCGTGTCTTCCTTTGCAGATGACACCCGAATCTGCATGACAGTGTCTTCCATTGCAGACACTGCAAGGCTCCAGGCGGACATCAACCAAATCTTTCAGTGGGCTGCAGAAAACAATATGAAGTTCAACGATGAGAAATTTCAATTACTCAGATATGGTAAACATGAGGAAATTAAATCTTCATCAGAGTACAAAACAAATTCTGGCCACAAAATAGAGCGAAACACCAACGTCAAAGACCTGGGAGTGATTATGTCGGAGGATCTCACCTTCAAGGACCATAACATTGTATCGATCGCATCTGCTAGAAAAATGACAGGATGGATAATGAGAACCTTCAAAACTAGGGAGGCCAAGCCCATGATGACACTCTTCAGGTCACTTGTTCTATCTAGGCTGGAATATTGCTGCACTCTAACAGCACCTTTCAAGGCAGGTGAAATTGCCGACCTAGAAAATGTACAGAGAACTTTCACGGCGCGCATAACGGAGATAAAACACCTCAATTACTGGGAGCGCTTGAGGTTTCTAAACCTGTATTCCCTGGAATGCAGGAGGGAGAGATACATGATTATATACACCTGGAAAATCCTAGAGGGACTAGTACCGAACTTGCACACGAAAATCACTCACTACGAAAGCAAAAGACTTGGCAGACGATGCAACATCCCCCCAATGAAAAGCAGGGGTGTCACTAGCACGTTAAGAGACCATACAATAAGTGTCAGGGGCCCGAGACTGTTCAACTGCCTCCCAGCACACATAAGGGGGATTACCAACAGACCCCTGGCAGTCTTCAAGCTGGCACTGGACAAGCACCTAAAGTCAGTTCCTGATCAGCCGGGCTGTGGCTCGTACGTTGGTTTGCGTGCAGCCAGCAGCAACAGCCTGGTTGATCTGGCACTGATCCACCAGGAGGCCTGGTCACAGACCGGGCCGCGGGGGCGTTGACCCCCGAAACTCTCTCCAGGTAAACTCCAGGTAAACAGAATACAGAACATATACATATATACATAATATAATCTATTATGATGTGGCCTTCCACCGCCTCAGTGGAAGACGGTATCATCTATAATATTGTGGAGAATATACAGTATATTTTCCGAAAATAGTGTATTTGTATGAAAATTAATAAAATATATTGTATTTAATAAAAATTATATTATAAAAAATGGGAAGCTCGGCGCCTGCGCAGACGAGCAGGTCACTCGCCATTGTGTTTTTGAATGAGCCAAGAAAACGTTAGTGAAAATAATAATTTTCGTCGCTCTAGAGGTTATATTGGGCTTACACCTCTCAAATAGGAGCCGAAATTGTTGGATGTGCATTTCTGCATAATTTGAGCATTAAATCGATGTACAGGACAGCTCCAGGAACCTCAGATAAGCTATCTAAATTATGTTTGTAATTCTGGCCAGTATTATCATCATAAATTTGGTTAGAGGGAGGTTTTTGAGTATTATACACAGTAATCTCCAGACTAATTGGTGAGTGTTATGAGTATAAATTCTCCTTCTGTTATATAAATGTGTATATGTAATCATTTATTAATTTTAATATACAGTCCACAAAAATTATAATAATTTTACCAGAATTCCTGGTGTGTATGTACATTTCATTTGCAATTAATATAGGTCTAGAGCAACTTGTGGAGAGATAGATGGTAGGTATCGAAGGGGGACATTTTTGCGACCTAGGTGTCCTAAAAATTCCTACTTGTCTCTGTAACTTTGATAAATAATAATTATCTTTGTTACCATTTACTTGTATGTATGTAATGAGATTCATCCAGGTAAATGTAATTTTCCACAAATAATTTTTTTGGATTTTTAATCCCGGAGGGTTAGCCACCTAGAATAACCCAAGAAAGACAATGCGCCTACTAACACCCGATACCTAATTACTTGCTAGGTGAATGGGACATAAGGAGTAAGGAAACACGCCCAATGTTTCCACCCTTGCCGGGGATCGAACCATGGACACTGAGCGTGTGAAGCGAGACCAGGCCAGTGCTAATGAACTGTTGTTAAAATTAAGAAATATGAGGAACACTATGTCAGTTTGGTCGTGGACAGTGACATTACTATACCACTAACAGTCTGGTTGACTAGGCTACCTAGTTGTGTCACACACAGGGGACGACGATAATCAATAACCTTCTTACTACGTTACAAGTCACACAGTATAAGACGCACACATGTCAAAAGTGAAAAAAAATGTTAACAGAGAAATTATTTTGTATGAAATATTAGAAGGAACATCGGTAACATTGGTAACTACGTCTACATTGAATACTTGGTCACATCACTAATAAATTCTACTGTATTGTTTCAGGTCTACAAAAGTTAAAATAAAGACGTGCAGTTTGGTACTCTTTAAGACGATGTATTAAAGTCCTACACTGTTTAATATATTAATCAAATGGTTATAATTATAAAAATCATTTTTGAAGGGATGGAAGGGTAAGCCAGTGGAAGGCCTCGGTCAAATGACCAAAAGCTCCAGCTGTGGGTCATCATATAACTAAGACCCGCAATACTTACCTACATTAACCAAAGCCTTACTAAAATCAATATCAGATACTCTCAAGAACATCACAATTAGCTATACTGATAACATTCTTGTACATACCAACTTATCATCAATTAAAAGCTATTTTTAAGTCCTGTACATAAACCTGGCGATAACCATGGCCTGGCAGTTTACGTAGAGATAACTAGTGTACCTTTAATATGTACTGTGTGTAACTGTATATGTATGTGTATGCACACTCGTCTGAGATTTCAGAATTTTTTAATAATCATTGACTTTGTAAAGATTCAAATTCCACCGGGAAAAGGGTTAGAATCATTTCCCCAGTAAGGAATGTGTCGTAGAAGGTGACTAGCACTCTCAGCTCACAGCTGAGGGTCCGTGGTTGGATACCTGACACGGGTGGTAACGTTGGGCATGTTCCTTAAACCTACTGCCCCTGTTCACCTAGCAGTAAGTAGGTACCTGGGTGGCATCTCAGGTTGTTAGTGCACCTTAGGGCGGTGCTTTGAAATAAGCTGAGGTAGATTCAACTGCAGGCACACAATAACTAGGCTTTCTGGTCGCAAAAGGAATACCTAACAAATCTAACTATTGAAGAATGAGACGCTTGTGTAATATTTGGGAATCTTTGAGATAACATTTCTCAAGCCAGTAGTTTTTTTTTAAGTCCAATAGAAAGAACGGGAGAAGATTCATGATCTGAACAACATCGACAGATCACCTCAAAACTTCTCCTCTACCGTTCTTTGTATTGGACTGAGGAAGCCACTGGCTGACGAACTTTCCTCAGTATAGATTCTCAGATGTTGCACAAGTGTCTCATTTTTCAACTTGTCGGTTTTCTAAACCATTTATTAAATCTAGTTGCTATTGATAATAATACGTACTTGATGGAGGAGTACCCGAAGTGCCTGATGGCGTAGGTGAAGAAGGAGATAATGAAGATAACTGGACGACTCAGTCTCTCGACCAACCAGTCGTTGATGATTAAGAAAGGTAAACCCACTAGGTTTCCCACTGTCATGGTCAGACCTGCCCATGGGTAAGTTTATTTAGATACAGGAATATATAAGTACCATTATTATCATACATAGTAACATACGTGAAAATGACCTTGATAGCTCCAAAAAGTCAGACCATTTCATGTTATGTTCTCCGTGAAAATACTTCATGTGGCAATTGGCTAAAACAGAAAAGCTTTTAGAAGCTCTTTTCCAGTCGCATCTACAACAGATCACATTGTAAATGAGCTTTAAAAGAAAGCTTACTATAAGAAGACTTACTGAATACCTTCCCGTCTCTGAACAAACCTGAGTGCTCATCAGATCCCACAAATACACTGAATAATAATGTCATATCTTCCCATACTCCTACCTACGTTGATACCTGCTCCTTTCACCTACCTAGGAGATAGTTAGGTGCCCCTAACTCCTTGAGGTAGACGAAGAGGAAGCTCTCAATGAAACCCCAGCTTGCACCTTGTGTCATTATCATGATCAAGAAAACATCGACCTCAGTTCTCACAATAAGCTTGGCCAGGTCCTTCATCACGGTGTCACCAGCCATGTCTACCTACACACACACGGGGAGAAGAGGAACACTTTTGTAGGATGTTTGAGATTTTGGATGTTAGTTTAAGTTTAATATTTTTATTATGCACCACATACCCATTCTGTGAGTCGTAGTCAAAAGATTACAGAGGTACATAATTGGTCCAGGGACTGGACCCCAAAGTTTTGATAGCTGAGCAAGTTACAGAGGTAATGAACTCACAATTTACAAAGGTAATGAACTCCAGGTAGGTCTGGTCACAATCATGACAAGTTACAAATGTATTTACAGATTACAGAGGTACGTAATGGGCCAGCAAAGGGTTTAGTTACCCACGATAACCCAAGAAAGCCACCCAATGTGGAGTATTTTCATTGTGGTTCTTTGATCACATTTCCCTTTTTTAAAAGCCAGTCAGTGAGTTATTTCCACTGGGTCTTGTGATTCTCCCCAAGAAACGACCCACAACAGTCGATAATATTATTTACAACATAACAGTGCCCAGTAATCTTATGCCAAGAATACACATGGTATATATTAAGTCGTATACCTGGAGTATACCTGTAGAGGGTTTCGGGGGGTCAACGCCCCCGCGGCCCGGTCTGAGACTACTGTACAAAAAGTGCCAATCTTATATTCCCACCCTTTAAAAGGATAAAAATAATATTCACCTTCTCAGACACAACTTTTCGGATAATTACAAGTTATTATACCGACTCCAAACGAAAAAAAATTCAATGTTTGACTGTTTTGTTATATTGGTTTAAATATACATATTGGGTTAATATTGTGTTAAATATGTACATATTAGGTTAAATATACATAGTTGGTTAATATACATAGCATACTCTATGCATATAACATGTGTATAATACCTTAACAATATTATAGACATATTTGCTATCTACACAAAGTCTAAATAAAAATCTAATTTATTACAAATCAATTACAACTCGTAATTACCTTCTCTTATTTTATATATCAAAATTCACATCACTAGTTCATCTATTTAGAACTATTAACTGTATTACCTGGAGTTTACCTGGAGAGAGTTTCGGGGGTCAACGCCCCCGCGGCCCGGTCTGTGACCAGGCCTCCTGGTGGATCAGCGCCTGATCAACCAGGCTGTTGCTGCTGGCTGCACGCAAACCAACGTACGAGCCACAGCCCGGCTGATCAGGAACTGACTTTAGGTGCTTGTCCAGTGCCAGCTTGAAGACTGCCAGGGGTCTGTTGGTAATCCCCCTTATGTGTGCTGGGAGGCAGTTGAACAGTCTCGGGCCCCTGACACTTATTGTATGGTCTCTTAACGTGCTAGTGACACCCTGCTTTTCATTGGGGGGATGGTGCATCGTCTGCCAAGTCTTTTTGCTTTCGTAGTGAGTGATTTTCGTGTGCAAGTTCGGTACTAGTCCCTCTAGGATTTTCCAGGTGTATATAATCATGTATCTCTCCCTCCTGCGTTCCAGGGAATACAGGTTTAGAAACCTCAAGCGCTCCCAGTAATTGAGGTGTTTTATCTCCGTTATGCGCGCCGTGAAAGTTCTCTGTACATTTTCTAGGTCGGCAATTTCACCTGCCTTGAAAGGTGCTGTTAGAGTGCAGCAATATTCCAGCCTAGATAGAACAAGTGACCTGAAGAGTGTCATCATGGGCTTGGCTCCCTAGTTTTGAAGGTTCTCATTATCCATCCTGTCATTTTTTCTAGCAGATGCGATTGATACAATGTTATGGTCCTTGAAGGTGAGATCCTCCGACATAATCACTCCCAGGTCTTTGACGTTGGTGTTTCGCTCTATTTTGTGGCCAGAATTTGTTTTGTACTCTGATGAAGATTTAATTTCCTCATGTTTACCATATCTGAGTAATTGAAATTTCTCATCGTTGAACTTCATATTGTTTTCTGCAGCCCACTGAAAGATTTGGTTGATGTTCCGCCTGGAGCCTTGCAGTGTCTGCAATGGAAGACACTGTCATGCAGATTCGGGTGTCATCTGCAAAGGAAGACACGGTGCTGTGGCTGACATCCTTGTCTATGTCGTATGGTAGAGTTATAATTGAAAGAATTAAGAGTAAGACGGAGAATAGGATAGCAGATGAACAAGGAGGCTTTAGGAAAGGTAGCGGGTGTGTGGACCAGGTGTTTACAGTGAAACATATAAGTGAACAGTATTTAGATAAGGCTAAAGAGGTCTTTGTGGCATTTATGGATTTGGAAAAGGCGTATGACAGGGTGGATAGGGGGGCAATGTGGCAGATGTTGCAAGTGTATGGTGTAGGAGGTAGGTTACTGAAAGCAGTGAAGAGTTTTTTACGAGGATAGTGAGGCTCAAGTTAGAGTATGTAGGAAAGAGGGAAATTTTTTCCCAGTAAAAGTAGGCCTTAGACAAGGATGTGTGATGTCACCGTGGTTGTTTAATATATTTATAGATGGGGTTGTAAGAGAAGTAAATGCGAGGGTCTTGGCAAGAGGCGTGGAGTTAAAAGATAAAGAATCACACACAAAGTGGGAGTTGTCACAGCTGCTCTTTGCTGATGACACTGTGCTTTTGGGGAGATTCTGAAGAGAAGTTGCAGAGATTGGTGGATGAATTTGGTAGGGTGTGCAAAAGAAGAAAATTAAAGGTGAATACAGGAAAGAGTAAGGTTATGAGGATAACAAAAAGATTAGGTGATGAAAGATTGAATATCAGATTGGAGGAGAGAGTATGGAGGAGGTGAACGTATTCAGATATTTGGGAGTGGACGTGTCAGCGGATGGGTCTATGAAAGATGAGGTGAATCATAGAATTGATGAGGGGAAAAAGAGTGAGTGGTGCACTTAGGAGTCTGTGGAGACAAAGAACTTTGTCCTTGGAGGCAAAGAGGGGAATGTATGAGAGTATAGTTTTACCAACGCTCTTATATGGGTGTGAAGCGTGGGTGATGAATGTTGCAGCGAGGAGAAGGCTGGAGGCAGTGGAGATGTCATGTCTGAGGGCAATGTGTGGTGTGAATATAATGCAGAGAATTCGTAGTTTGGAAGTTAGGAGGAGGTGCGGGATTACCAAAACTGTTGTCCAGAGGGCTGAGGAAGGGTTGTTGAGGGGGTTCGGACATGTAGAGAGAATGGAGCGAAACAGAATGACTTCAAGAGTGTATCAGTCTGTAGTGGAAGGAAGGCGGGGTAGGGGTCGGCCTAGGAAAGGTTGGAGGGAGGGGGTAAAGGAGGTTTTGTGTGCGAGGGGCTTGGACTTCCAGGAGGCATGCATGAGCGTGTTTGATAGGAGTGAATGGAGACAAATGGTTTTTAATACTTGACGTGCTGTTGGAGTGTGAGCAAAGTAACATTTATGAAGGGATTCAGGGAAACCGGCAGGCCGGACTTGAGTCCTGGAGATGGGAAGTACAGTGCCTGCACTCTGAAGGAGGGGTGTTAATGTTGCAGTTTAAAAACTGTAGTGTAAAGCACCCTTCTGGCAAGACAGTGATGGAGTGAATGATGGTGAAAGTTTTTCTTTTTCGGGCCACCCTGCCTTGGTGGGAATCGGCCAGTGTGATAATAAAAAAAAATAATATCACTAAGGCTGGATAATTGGGATTTTGGATTTTTGACTGACCAGGGTCATTATATATGTAAAGTATTTCTTGTATAGATGTGAATCTAAATTAATATTGATTAGTTACTGCATTATGTAAACAGAGTAATAATAGAGAAATAGGTGGCTGCCATTATGGGAGTACCATGGACCTACCATCATGGGAGTACTCAGGACCTACCATAATGGGAGTGCCCAGAATCTACCATCATGGGAGTACTCAGGACCTACCATCATGTGAGTACTCAGGACCTACCATCATGGGAGTACTCAGGACCTACCATCATGTGAGTACTCAGGACCTACCATCATGGGAGTACTCAGGACTTACCATCATGGGAGTACCCAGGACCCACCATCATGGGAGTACTCAGGACCTACCATCATGTGAGTACTCAGGACCTACTATCATGGGAGTACTCAGGACCTACCATCATGGAAGTACTCAGGACCTACCATCATGTGAGTACTCAGGACCTACCATCATGTGAGTACTCAGGACCTACCATCATGGGAGTACCCTCGACCCACCATCATGGGAGTACTCAGGACCTACCATCATGTGAGTACTCAGGACCTACCATCATGGGAGTACCCTCGACCCACCATCATGGGAGTACTCAGGACCTACCATCATGTGAGTACTCAGGACCTACTATCATGGGAGTACTCAGGACCTACCATCATGGAAGTACTCAGGACCTACCATCATGGGAGTACTCAGGACCTACCATCATGTGAGTACTCAGGACCTACCATCATGTGAGTACTCAGGACCTACCATCATGGAAGTACTCAGGACCTACCATCATGTGAGTACTCAGGACCTACCATCATGTGAGTACTCAGGACCTACCATCATGTGAGTACTCAGGACCCACCATCATGTGAGTACTCAGGACCCACCATCATGGGAGTACCCTCGACCCACCATCATGCATCATGTGAGTACTCAGGACCTACCATCATGGGAGTACCCTCGACCCACCATCATGGGAGTACTCAGGACCTACCATCATGGGAGTACCCTCGACCCACCATCATGGGAGTACTTACCACGAAGTGTAACCTAGAGATGAGAAGGATGGAGAGAAGGGACAGGATGCCACCGAAGTAAAGTGCTGGAGAGAAGTCTGGCAATTCTGTGGAAGACGCCATTATTTTTATTATTGTCATAGCTTAAAAAATGTTGGTATCTAGTCCCTGGACCCAATTTATAATGCTATTCAGCTAGGAACACGAGTGATAAGATTATGAATTGTTTTACAAAGCAAGTCAATGTTATTATATGTGGCTTTGACTTATTTATAAGTGATTTGCGACAGGCAGAGTCATCATATATTTTTCATGTGTCACTGTGGATAAAATACGTGTCCCGTAGCTCGATTGGTAGCGCATTCAGCTCACACACTGAGGTCCGGGGATCGATTCCCCGGTACGGCTGGAAACATTAGGGCATGTTTCCTTAAAATACTTGCTGTCCATGTTCACCTAGCAGTAACTAGGTACCTGGGTGTTAGTCGACTGGTGTGGGTCGCATCCTGGGGACAAAATTTAGGTAATTTGCGGGAAATGCTCTGCATAACAAGGGGCTTTCTATATAGTATGTCACTCTTAGCTATGGTCTGTATACCTTGTACTTGTAGCATGGTGTACAAAGTGTGACAAGTCTAACTGACACATTTTGTCTACATCAGCTGGTGATGTAATCTTGGAGAGGTACTTGTGACCCAACCCAAGCCAGGCAGTGCCCCTCCAGTGCCTCTCACCTGCGTCACTACCGTGATGTAACTTCCCAAAGGTACTAACAACTCAACCCAAGCCAGGCAGTGCCCCTCCAGTGCCTCTCACCAGCGCCACTACGTGATGTAACTTCCCAGAGGTACTTACAACCCATCCCAAGCCAGGCAGTGCCCCTCCAGTGCCTCTCACCTGCGTCACTGCTGTGGTGTAACCTACCAGAGATACATGTGACCCAACCCAAGCCAGGCAGTGCCCCTCCAGTGCCTCTCACCTGCGTCACTACCGTGATGTAACTTCCCAGAGGTACTAACAACCCAACCCAAGCCAGGCAGTGCCCCTCCAGTGCCTCTCACCAGCGCCATTACGTGATGTAATTTCCCAGAGGTACTTACAACCCAACCCAAGCCAGGCAGTGCCCCTCCAGTGCCTCTCACCTGCGTCACTGCTAAACTTGTCGACGAGGAAGCCAGATATAAGAGGACCCAGAGATACACCCACCACAGAGAACAGTCGCTGGATGCCCAGCTCACCACCATACTGTTTTAGCAGTGCCAGGCAGGTGGCATCCTGGGGAGAGGAGAGAAATATATCAGAGAAACCTGGTGAGATGATTTTGATCCAAGGAACTGGGGGATAACCCCTTCACTCTCTCCCTCGGATCTAACCTGAGTACCTCTTGTCCCCCAAGGCTTTGTTGAGCCACGAAGTCATTAAGTGCTGACTCATAATAATAATAATAATAATAATAATAATAATAATATGTAGGTAGTAGGTTGATAGACAGCAACCGCCCAGGGAGGTACTACCGTCCTGCCAAGTGAGTGTAAAACGAAAGCCTGTAATCGTTTTACATGATGGTAGGATTGCTGGTGTCTTTTGTCTGTCTCATAAATATGCAAGATTACAGGTAAGTCTTGCTACTTCTACTTACACTTAGGTCACACTACACATACATGTACAAGCATATATACACACACCCCTCTGGGTTCTCTTCTATTTTCTTTCTAATTCTTGTTCTTGTTTATTTCCTCTTATCTCCATGGGGAAGTGGAACAGAATTCTTCCTCTGTAAGCCATGAGTGTCATAAGAGGCGACTAAAATGCCGGGAGCAAGGGGCTAGTAACCCCTTCTCCTGTATATATTACTAAATTTAAAAGGAGAAACTTCAGTTTTTTCTTTTGGGCCACCCCACCTCAGTGGGATACGGCTGGTACGTTGAAAGAATAATAATAATAATAATAATAATAATAATAATAATAATAATAATAATAATAATAATAATAATAATAATAACAGCAATAATAATGATAATAATAATAATAATGATGATAATAATTATAATTATAATAATAACAGTAATAATAATAATAATAATAATAATAATAATAATAATAATACTAATAATACTAATACTTACTGTCATGGTGAAGGCAGATGACAGGAAGAACGAGCCTGTCATCCGTATAGCAAAATATACCCAGAATGTGGTGGCACCATTACTGGGTTCATCAGGGTGGTCACAGGTTGGTGCCATCTTCACCTGGCACTCTACCTGGCACTGCGACTGACAGGTCAGCCTCTGGTACACCTGGTCATCGAGTACTTGGTCATACCAGGTGTGTCCACAGATGTCATCATCCTGCCATGATAGTATGGTGCCATTGGCACTCACCTATGAAGAAATTATTCTTTTATTGGGGTGCCTTGGTGATGCCAAGGGCTCGTGATCCGAGGAGTTTAAGCTAATTTTAGGATTCCTAGGTCAAAATTTCTTACTGCTGCCCATTACCAAGGCATTGTGGCCCTTATGATTTTAGCGCTTCCCTTTAATAATAATAATAATAATAATAATAATAATAATAATAATAATAATAATAATAACAATAATAATAACAATATATTTTTATTATTAACTAATAATATAATTAATAACAAAATAATAATTACTATTAATATAAATAATAACATTTAAAAATAATAATAAAAACACCCTACAAGGAAATTTAAAACCAGTATTAACACGTATTAAAATCTCATCCGAAAATAATTCTCAGAAATCAAAACAACAGCTGAAAAAATATATTATTATCAGTAAGGTTAAAAAGGCTTCTATATACAGAATCATCAGAAAAACACACTAAAAACTGTATTAAAAGTTCTCCCCGAGGCCCAGCAGGCATCTCGGTAGTTATAAATGCTGAGAGGAATCCACCTCAAATGCATTATTATAATCATGGGGAGCGCTAAACCCGTAGGATTATATAGCGCCTGTGGGGGGGGATGGAAGGCATTCAGGTTCAATGCAGGGAACTGGATTACAGATCCAATTCCCTAGATCAAGAGCCCCTCACCAGCGTCAAGGAACCTCCCTTGACGGGGATCGCCTCGAATAGAACTGGGAAAACTCCCTTATGAACCAGTGTTAGCATGGTACAAGCTGCACCAAGAGAATTATTATAATTATTATTATTATTAAACCAGAATGATTTAATAATAATAATAATCTTTATTTCTACAAGTATATGTACAATGTATACAAACCATAGCTGACATCATGACATAGAAAGCCCCTGGTTATGTAGAGCATTTCCCGCAACTTAGGTCACTCTTGTCCCCCAGGATGCGACCCACACCAGCCGGCTAACACCCAGGTACGTAACTGCTGCTAGGTGAACATAGACGGCAGGTGTCTTAAGGAAACACATGCTAATGTTTCTACCCGTACTGGGGATCGAGCCCCGGACACTCAATGTGTCAGGTGAGTGCGCTACCAACCGATCTATGGGACACTAGTGTTTAATATACCCAGACAGGTGTGTTTAACGTGACTGGTTGGGTTCGTATTAGTGCTCGGAATACCAGGTTGGGTTCGTACTAGTGCTCAGCATACCAGGTTGGGTTCGTACTAGTGATTAACGTACCTGGTCAAGGTCATACTAATGTGCGTATATTGTATTGATGTATGACACACCTGGTCAGTGACGTTGAGGGCGAGGCAGTGGGTGTGATGGTCGTTAGACAAACACACTCGTAGTTGCTCCTCTTCTGGCGGCGACTCACACAGGAACCTGCAGTCCTGTATACAAACATATGAAATCTTGGAATCATCTACTACCACAACATTATGTAAATGGACACAGATGCAACTAATATTACAGTTTATTGTGGCAACGTTTCGCTCTCCAGGAGCTTTGTCAAGCTGGCTTGACAAAGCTTCTGGTAATTCTACCATTATTACTACCATAACATGGTTTTCCTTGCCTCCTCGACTACAGAGCCTCAATCACTTGGCAACACAACAATGGAATTGTATAAATGGTTATAAATACAACCATAATTGTTAAATGGGTGGAGGAGTAATCCAGCGGAAGGCCTCGGTCATATGACCAAAAACTCCAGCTGTGGGTCACCATATGACTATGACCAGCGTCAGGAAACACTTGTCCTGTTTCCTGACAAATCTTACCTAACTTAACCCAAGGAATGGGTTAGGTTAGGTAAGATTTGTTGTCATAACAGCTACTTCTTCCATCTTCAACGTCTTCAGCTTTCTATCTTTTCCTGCCCACCAATTTCCATTCGATGGGGCTAGTACCACTAGTATCTCTAAATACTTGCATCTCTAGTTTTCTCCAGCTCTAACAGTAAAATATCACTAGCAGTAAAATATCACTAACACTGAGAATCCACCAAGAATATCACTATAGAACTTACCTTCAGTGTCAGTTCGAATTGAGTGTGACTGCGGTTGTGATGGCAGAGATCGCAGGCGGCCCAGGTAAGTGTGTCGTTGTCAGGACGGCAGGTGAGGGAGAGAGAGGAAATAGAGCGTTGTGGGACGTACAGGAGAGACACGTGAAACACCACCGTTAGCACCATGTTCACCATCATTACAGACTTGTACCTGCCGAAGGTGTCAGCCACCAGACCTGTGGAGAGGAAAATATAGAGAGGACGTGTAGAGAGGACAATCTAGAGAGGACCTGTAGAGGCCAATATATCTGAAATGCGTAGGGAGACACTGGACAGAGAAATAGCAAACATCGAACTAAAGCTAAAGGAATCTTATAGGAGTCAGGAATCGCGGGAAGAACTAAAAGCCATAAATGAAATCGAAAGAAACCTAAAGTGTTTCTTTTCTTATGCCAAATCAAAGTCAAGAACAACGTCAAGTATTGGGCCCCTACTTAAACAAGATGGGTCCTACACAGATGACAGCAAGGAAATGAGTGAGCTACTCAAGTCCCAGTATGACTCAGCTTTTAGCAAGCCGCTAACCAGACTGAGAGTCGAAGATCTAAATGAATTTTTTTATGAGAGAGCCATAGAATTTGGCAAATACAAGCCTATCTGATGTTATCCTGAGGTCAAATGACTTCGAACAGGCGATAAATGACATGCCCATGCACTCTGCCCCAGGGCCAGACTCATGGAACTCCGTATTCATCAAGAACTGCAAGAAGCCAATATCACGTGGTTTTAACATCCTATGGAGAGGGAGCATGGACACGGGGGTCGTCCCACAGTTACTAAAAACAACAGACATAGCCCCACTCCACAAAGGGGGCAGTAAAGCAACAGCAAAGAACTACAGACCGATAGCACTAACATCCCATATCATAAAAATCTTTGAAAGGATCCTAAGAAGCAAGGTCACCACCCATCTAGAAACCCATAAATTACACAACCCAGGGCAACATGGGTTTAGAACAGGTCGCTCCTGTCTGTCTCAACTACTGGATCACTACGACAAGGTCCTAGATGCACTAGAAGACAAGAAGAATGCAGATGTGATATATACAGACTTTGCAAAAGCCTTCGACAAGTGTGACCATGGCGTAATAGCGCACAAAATGCGTGTTAAAGGAATAACAGGAAACGTTGGTAGATGGATTTATAATTTCCTCACAAACAGAACACAAAGAGTAGTAGTCAACAGAGTCAAGTCTGAAGCGGCTATGGTGAAAAGCTCTGTTCCACAAGGCACAGTACTCGCTCCCATCTTGTTTCTCATCCTCATATCTGACATAGACAAGGATGTCAGCCACAGCACCGTGTCTTCCTTTGCAGATGACACCCGAATCTGCATGACAGTGTCTTCCATTGCAGACACTGCAAGGCTCCAGGCGGACATCAACCAAATCTTTCAGTGGGCTGCAGAAAACAATATGAAGTTCAACGATGAGAAATTTCAATTACTCCGATATGGTAAACATGAAATTAAAACTTCATCAGAGTACAAAACAAATTCCAGCCACAAAATAGAGCGAAAAACTAACGTCAAAGACCTGGGAGTGATCATGTAGGAGGACCTCACCTTCAAGGACCATAACATTGTATCAATCGCATCTGCTAGAAAAATGACAGGATGGATAATGAGAACCTTCAAAACTAGGGATGCCAAGCCCATGATGACACTCTTCAGGTCGCTTGTTCTATCTAGGCTGGAATATTGCTGCACACTAACAGCACCTTTCAAGGCAGGTGAAATTGCTGACCTAGAAAATGTAGCTCGTACGTTGGCTTGGGTGCAGCCAGCAGTAACAGCCTGGATGATCAGGTTCTGATCCACCATGAGGCCTGGTCACAGACCGGGCCGCGGGGGCGTTGACCCCCGGAACTCTCTCCAGGTAAACTCCAGGTCTCCAGTACAATCTAGTAAGGAACTTCTTCCACCCCAAAAACATTTATTCCCCTGTTTGTCCGGTTACCTAATGAGTATCATTTACTTCGTGAGAACCAGTCAACTCCCTTCAGAAATAACACATTATGGAGACGAAACTTTAGACTGGTGTTAACTGTTTCCTCCTGGGCCGATATTAAGTCACAACCTAGCGTAAAAATGGAGAAGACAGGAGAGGACGATTAAGAGGGAGAAGGAAGATTATTATTATAATCAAGGGGGAAGCACTAAACCCGTAGGATTATACAGCGCCTATGGGGGGATGGAAGGCATTCAGGCTTAATTCAGGGAACTGGAGCACAGATCCAACTGGAGCACAGATCCAATTCCCTAGATCAAGAGCCCCTCACCAGCGTCAAGGAGCCTTCCTTGAGGGGGGGGGGGAGAAGGAAGAATGTTAAATAAATGGACACAGATGCAACTACAGCGATATTTTATTGTGTCCGCTTTTTCTTAACTTTCTAGGTAATTCTATTACCTGAGGGACGAATGTTAGAAGACTGGTTAGGAAATGAAGTTAGATAGCTATGTTAATATCTTTATTGTGCACCACATACCCATCTGAGAAAATACTAGACAGTTGACTGAGGAGAGCAGGAGATGAAAATATTAGGTAGCCCCAACATCACACCTTCGTTATGGGGATCACGAAGGAATATCACAGTAGGAAGTATCTTCAGTGTGTGAATTGTAGATAAATGGTTCAGAGAACTGACAAGTTGATAAATTAGTCACATGTGCAACACTTGGGTATCTTTACTGAGGAAACGTTTCGCCACACAGTGGCTTCATCAGTCTTATAGAAAGAAGAATGGTGAAGATCAGGAGATTGAGGTAATCAGTCCCTCAGCCTGGAGTTGATAAAATTACCCCCCCCCCTCCCCCACAATTCTCTGAAAGTTTACTTTCTTATTCATGTCCTGATCGCCTAGTTCTCTGATGATATTTTCAATCTCCTGTTTTTCTTCCTGCCATTTTTCATTGTGTGTTCTCCCCTCGCTCTCCTGAAGCCCATGAATAAACACTGACTTCTCCCTCTCATCCCATTGCCTTTCCCTCTGTGTCTCTGGGTCCCATTTGTACATGGCCATTGTCTCTCTTATTTTTTCCTGTATCTCTCGGTGGCACGATCGAGCCTCTGCTTGGAGCCTTTCCGCCTCTCCACCTTCTCGCCCCTCCATTACTGCTATCCCTACTCCCAACATCTCTTCCCTTCATTCCTCAGCCCTGATTGGTGGACTGATAGGGCCTTAGCGTAAGTCATGTCTCCTTCCTTTCTCTCAGTGTATATACGCTGAGTTTAATGGTAAGTTAAGGGATTAAAGTATACAATCCTTGACTGATGTTGTCATGGTGATATGCGACCTTAATGACCACTGAGTAGTCGATCGGATTTAATATAATAAGCAAACTAATCAAAGGTGCAAACACCAGGTCACCAACTGGATAAAACCCGGACCGGGACACTACAGGCGAACCTCAATCGAATCGAAGACTTCGAAGAACAAAAAGGCACAATACCGTGACTGGAACAATACACAAATAACCCACACATAGAAGAGAGAATCTTATGACGACGTTTCGGTCCAACTTGGAACATTTACAGGTCACAGTGTCGCTATAACCTCTCTGACCTATGTGCAGGTTATTTGTACAAGGCAGCAAAATATACCTGAGGTGGGTGGGCCCAGGAGAGAGGCAATGGGCAGGAAGGAATATATAATGGCGATCTCCTTCACGGTGATTCCCAGGACCTGCATATGCAGGGTCAGGTACGGCAGGTAGCTGGTCTGACCTGTGGAAGGAACAGGTATTAGCTTGAGGAACATAAGGACATTAATGGAAATAAGTCACCCCTTGAATTTATTGGTTAATCTGAATATATAACAACGTTCGTGCACTAAGAACTGTTATGAAAAATTAAAATCGAGTGTTTAAAACAATTTGTAGATTTTCTAATTTGTTTTTTAATGAACCGGCCGTATCCCACGAAGGTAGTGGCGCAGTAGTGGAGGTAGTGGTGCAGTAGTGGAGGTACTGGTGCAGTAGTGGAGGTAGTGGCGCAGTAGTGGAGGTAGTGGTGCAGTAGTGGAGGTAGTGGTGCAGTAGTGGAGGTAGTGGTGCAGTAGTGAAGGTAGTGGTGCACTAGTGGAGGTACTGGTGCAGTAGTGGAGGTACTGGTGCAGTAGTGGAGGTAGTGGTGCACTAGTGGAGGTACTGGTGCAGTAGTGGAGGTACTGGTGCAGTAGTGGAGGTAGTGGTGCAGTAGTGGAGGTACTGGTGCAGTAGTGGAGGTAGTGGCGCAGTAGTGGAGGTAGTGGTGCACTAGTGGAGGTACTGGTGCAGTAGTGGAGGTAGTGGTGCAGTAGTGGAGGTACTGGTGCAATAGTGGAGGTACTGGCGAAGTAGTGGAGGTAGTGGTGCAGTAGTGGAGGTAGTGGTGCAGTAGTGGAGGTAGTGGTGCAGTAGTGGAGGTAGTGGTGCAGTAGTGGAGGTACTGGTGCAGTAGTGAAGGTACTGGTGCAGTAGTGGAGGTAGTGGTGCAGTAGTGGAGGTAGTGGTGCAGTAGTGGAGGTACTGGTGCAGTAGTGGAGGTAGTGGTGCAGTAGTGGAGGTAGTGGTGCAGTAGTGGAGGTACTGGTGCAGTAGTGGAGGTAGTGGTGCAGTAGTGAAGGTACTGGTGCAGTAGTGGAGGTACTGGTGCAGTAGTGGAGGTAGTGGTGCAGTAGTGGAGGTACTGGTGCACTAGTGGAGGTACTGGCGAAGTAGTGGAGGTACTGGTGCACTAGTGGAGGTACTGGCGCAGTTGTAGAGGTACTGACACAGTAGTAGTGGTACTAACACAGTAGTAGTGGTACTAACACAGTAGTAGTAGTACTAACACAGTAGTAGTAGTAGTACTAACACAGTAGTAGTGATACTAACACAGTAGTAGTGGTACTGACACAGTAGTAGTAGTACTAACACAGTAGTAGTAGTACTAACACAGTAGTAGTGGTACTAACACAGTAGTAGTGGTACTAACACAGTAGTAGTGGTACTAACACAGTAGTAGTAGTACTAACACAGTAGTAGTAGTACTAACACAGTAGTAGTGGTACTAACACAGTAGTAGTGGTACTAACACAGTAGTAGTAGTACTAACACAGTAGTAGTAGTACTAACACAGTAGTAGTGGTACTAACACAGTAGTAGTGGTACTAACACAGAAGTAGTGGTACTAACACTGTAGTAGTAGTGATACTAACACAGTAGTAGTAGTACTAACACAGTAGTAGTAGTACTAACACAGTAGTAGTGGTACTAACACAGTAGTAGTAGTACTAACACAGTAGTAGTGTACTAACACAGTAGTAGTAGTACTAACACAGTAGTAGTAGTACTGGCACAGTAGTAGTGGTACTGGCACAGTAGTAGTAGTACTAACACAGTAGTTGTAGTATTTCTAACACAGTAGTAGTGGTACTAACACAGTAGTAGTAGTACTAACACAGTAGTAGTAGTATTAACACAGTAGTAGTGGTACTAACACAGTAGTAGTGGTACTGGCACAGTAGTAGTGGTACTAACACAGTAGTAGTAGTATTAACACAGTAGTAGTGGTACTAACACACTAGTAGTGGTACTGGCACAGTGGTAGTGGTACTAACACAGTAGTAGTAGTATTAACACAGTAGTAGTGGTACTAACACAGTAGTAGTGGTACTGGCACAGTGGTAGTGGTACTAACACAGTAGTAGTAGTATTAACACACTAGTCGTGGTACTAACACAGTAGTAGTGGTACTGGCACAGTAGTAGTGGTACTAACACAGTAGTAGTAGTATTAACACAGTAGTAGTGGTACTAACACAGTAGTAGTGGTACTGGCACAGTGGTAGTGGTACTAACACAGTAGTAGTAGTATTAACTACTGCCTTGGATCAAACGTGTAGCGCATGCTACACTCCAAGGTATTGTCCAGTGTGGGTAGATTGGTAAAGCACTGCGTACCTAGTCCTAAGGTTCGTAGGTTCGAGTCTCCTTCAGCCAGAGATCAGTGTTTATATATATATATATATATATATATATATATATATATATATATATATATATATATATATACATGTGTTTACGTATGTGTGTGTGTGTGTGTGTGTGTGTGTGTGTTTGTGTGTGTGTTTGCGTTTGTGTGCGTTTGTGTGTGTGTGTATGTGTGTGTGTGTATAAACACGCTGGACGTCTCCCACCGAGGCAGGGTGACCCGAAAAAGAAACACTTTTACCATGATTCACACCATGACTGTCTTTACAGAGGCGCTCAGATACGACAGTTTAGATGTCACTCTAAACAACATTGTACATCCCACCTCCAGGACTCAAGTTAGGGTGTCCCGTAGCTCGATTCTTAAAGTACTCAGCTCACACACTGAGGTCCGGGGTTCGATCCCCGGTATAAATATGATACAAACACACGATGACCCAAAGGATTGAAGTCACCCTTCAATCCTATGCTATAGGATTACATTAACTGTTATTACTTCTTAAAATCTAACAATAATATGGGTAATCATGCTATGCAGTAACAATCTGGTTGATCAGGCCCTGATCCACCGCGATTATTATTATTATAATCAAGGGGAAGCGCTAAACCCGGAGGATTATACAGCATGATCCACCGCGAGGCCTGGTCACAGACAGGGCCGCAGGGCTGTTAACCCCCAAAACCTTTCCAAGTAAACTCCAGGTATATTTAGTGGAGTGTTTTCGCTCTCTTCATTTCCTTGAATCAAACGCCCAAGTGGGAACAAATTCCATTAGGTAGCTATGTTATATACACTCAAGGTGAAGACCCATATTATTGTCAGCGAGTGTTCGTGATTTGATCAATATTTTGGCAGCCCAGACAGACGCACTGTCATGTCGACTCATGGCTTACCTACTTTCAAGGAAGTTCACGTGTTGCTGTTGAAAAACTCATGATTAAAGGAATTAGAGCTGCCTTCATTTTTCTTAGTACATCCCTGATTACCTGCCATTCCTCAGGCGCCGTATGACCCCTACCAGGATTAAAGACAGCCTAGTAAGTAAGTAAGTAAGTAAGTAAGTTTATTCAGGTATACACAAATACAGTTACATAGAATTATCATACATAGCAGCATATGTGTAGAGAACCTGGGATAATCCAAAAAAGTCAGAGTGACTTATTTCCATTGGGGTCCTTTTCTGGAGTACCTGGAGTACCTGGAGAGGGTTTAGGGGGTCAACTAAGTGACTTGCTCTTTGCTGTGAAAATACTGCTGCTACCAACCGACATGTAATCATTAGTGAACTTGCCAGAATGGATGTTGGAGGATGTCTTCTCCGCTGGATTAAAAGCTACTGTCCAACAGAAAGTCGTCTGTGTTGTTCCAGGGACATAGAAGTGTAACTAAAGATTTTGAATTAGGAACACCACAGGGAGGTGTGCTCAGTCCCACCCTATTCAATATTCTAATTAATGCATTACTTAATGCCATACCTAGCCAGCCCCATCATTATATGATTAATTTTGCTGATGATATAATGATTCACCAGCACCGGATTCTCCAACACCCAAAACATTCTTAGCCTCGTGTCAGGACCTGGGGTTAATAATCTCTATTGATAATACAAAGATACACAACAGACGTCCTCCTCGACAGACACAGTTCGCTAGATCCAGTTGCATGATGGTTCTCTTCTAGAATATGTAAGCATTTACAAGTATCTAGGCTTTGAGGTCCCACTACTTGGACCTGTTGTAACAAGACTTTGTCGCCAATACAAAGAAAGACTGATAGCTGTGATGAATGCTTTTGAAAACCGATAAGTTGGAGATTGAGACACTTATGCAACATATGGGAATCTTTATTGAGGAAACGTTTCGCCACACAGTGGCTTCATCAGTCGAATACAAAGCAGAAAGGTGTAAGGAGAGGAGGGGTTTGAGGTAATCAGTCCCTCAGCCTGGAGTCGATGTGTTCAGTCCATCAATCTTGTAGGAAGTACAGCATAGGGCCGTAGACGTGGCTTATATACTGTAGTCAGGTGAGGCGAAGCAGGAGGAGGCGGGGTCATAGTGGTACCATCCACTAGTCGAAGTAGGTCTTCGTCCAAAGGTTGGAAAAGTTTTGATACAAAGATTTCTTCAAAGCCTGTCCACCTTTGGACGAAGACCTACTTCGACTAGTGGATGGTACCACTATGACCCCGCCTCCTTCTGCTTCGCCTCACCTGACTTCAGTCAAGTGAGGCGTGTGTATACGTGTGTGTGTGTGTGTGTGTGTGTGTGTGTGTGTGTGTGTGTGTGTGTGTGTGTGTGTGTGTGTGTGTGTGTGTGTGTGTGTGTGTACTCACCTATTTGTACTCACCTATTTGTGGTTGCAGGGGTCGAGTCACAGCTCCTGGCCCCGCCTTTCGCTGATTGCTACTAGGTCCTCTCTCTCCTGCCCCATGGCTCTATCATACCTCGCCTTAAAACTATGTATGGTTCCTGCCTCCACCACATCACTTTCTAGGCTATTCCATGGCCTGACTACTCTATGACTGAAGAAATACTTCCTAACATCCCTTTGATTCATCTGAGTCTTCAACTTCAATTGTGACCTCTTGTGTCTGTGTCCCATCTTGGAACATCCGTCTTTGTCCACCTGTCTATTCGCGCAGTATTTATATGTCGTTATCAAGTCTCCTGAGCCCTCCTGGCCTCCAGTGTCGTCAGGCCGATTTCCCTCAACCTTTCTTCTAGGACAATCCCCGTAGCTCTGGACTAGTCTGTTGCAAACTTTGCACTTTCTATATTTCTTGACGTGCTTGTGTGGTGTGTGTGTGTGTGGTTTGTGTGCTGTGTGTGTGTTGTGTGTGTGTGTGTGGTTGTGTGTGTGTGTTGTTGTGTAGTGTGTGCTTTTTGGTGTGTGTGTGTGTTGTGTGTGTGTGTGTGTGTGTGTGTCGTGTGTGTGGTGTTGTGTTGTGTGTGTGTGTGTGTGTGTGTGTGTGTGTGTGTGTGTGTGTGTGTGTGTGTGTGTGTGTGTGTGTGTGTGTGTGTTTGTGTGTGTGTGTGTGTGTGTGTGTGTGTGTGTGTGTGTGTGTGTGTGTGTGTGTGTGTGTGTGTGTGTGTGTGTTTGTGTGTTTGTGTGTGTGTGTGTGTGACCCAACAGTTAATACTTGCACTAATAACTCATTACAGTTGTGACTGGGTGTGGACGTGTAAATTGCTTATTACTTGATACAATGTTCATAATTGTAACTATGTATAAGACGTGTAGATGATTCATTACCTTTGTAACTTGTTCGGCTATCAAAACTTTGGGGCCCAGACCCTGGACCCATTACGTACCTCTGTAATCTTCTGACTACCACCCACACCATGGGTATGGAATGTATAATAAACATATTAAACTAACTAACTGCTAGTAGTAGTAATGATAATAGTAATATTAATAACATCAATAATAATAATATAAGAATAATTAAGCTATATTTAATGTACACACTTCTCTCTCTCTCTCTCTCTTTATATTCAGTGTCTCAGTAATTTTCTTATCACGAGTGAATTATTCCCATTGTCAATTTTTGTTTTGATAGGCTGATAGGTAATTAGATTTGATCCGAGGGGAAGTAACAACAGTTCCTGAGATCAAGAACTCTTCGCCGGCATCAAGGTACCTTTGGAAATCTGTACCATCACAAGAGATGACTAATTAAACACCTGTGCAACACTTGGCTATCTTTACTGCGGAAACGTTTCGACAGCCAGTGGCTTCCTCAGTCCAATACAGTGAAGAATGGTTGAAGATAAGAAGGAGTCTGAGGTAAACAGTCCCTCAGCCTGGAGTCAATGTGATCAGTCCATCAGCACTGATAGACTGATAATATCTACTCCAGACTGAAGGACTGATTACCTCAAAGTCATTCTGATCTTAAAACATTCTTCTCTAATTCATTACACAACCCGCACAGTGGAAGCTTCTCTCTCCCGTCAGCGGGTTATTTGAGTATTGTTCCAGTCACGGTATTGTGTATTTTTTTGTATTTTATTTATCCTATTCATCAACCTGTCGTTTTTCTAAACCATTTATCATCACAAGAGTAAACTCACCGGCGTAGAAGAGGAAGAGGATGACCTTGATGGGTAACAATTCCTGTTTAAGAGTCATATGTTTTCTGCACCTCGTCCACCACCTCAGGACAAGACCACCTCCTTTAGCGCCATTTTCTTCAGCGCCACGTCTCTCAGTGGCGCTTCCTAGTTGGCCATCCTTCACATCTGTATCAAATAAGTAGTGTACTAGTCGGAAACTAGGATGGTTATGGGATGTATAATAAATCGTAGGGTCTCATACAGCACCTGGGTAATGGGGTGGAAATAACAAGGACCCTAATGGAAATGTCAGTGTGTCTGTCTTATTTCCATTAAAGTCCTTGATAATTTCCTAGGATAACCTCTGACAATGGGTTATCCTGGGTAATTTACAATATGATAAATGTACTTATATGTACCTGTACCTAAATAAACTTAATAACAGGTACAGTTCCTGGAATCAAGGGCCGCAGTGGGAATAAATCTCATTGGGTCACTATGTATCTTCAGTGTCAGCAGTGTTCGTGTTCTCATCAAAATTTTGGCAGCCCGAGCAAGTGAACTGTCATGTTGACTGGTGAAGAACTCTTGATTCAAAGAATTAGAGCTGCCTTCATTTTTCTTAGAACATCCCTGATTACTTTCCATTCCTCACGCGCTGTATCAACCCCACCAGGATCAAGGACAGCTTATGAACAACAACAACAACAACAACAACAACAACAACAACAACAACAACAACAATAATAATAATAATAATAATAATAATAATAATAATAATAATAATAATAAAATAATAACTAGCTGTTAATTATAATTTGATTTCTATGTTATTCACCCATGGAAGTGTAATTAATTCTTAATTTTTCGTCTATTCCAATACTTAAAAAATATGTAAGATCGAATCTTGGTTTGAGATTATTTGATCTCTCCCTTATCCCTGGGTTTCCATTTTATGTATATTGTTTATGTTTTTTGATAAATGTACAGTACAAAAAAATTTAGATAGAAAAATAATGACATATATTATATGATTATAAGAGTACAGTTTAACATGATTGTTTACGAGGAATGATTCAATTTGGACAGGTCAGCCGCAGATGTCAGCATAGTTGCTGATCCCTGTATTCCCTGTATTATATAGCATACCATATTAGTATCATCCATGTGCTTTAGATACGAGATCCCTTGTAGGCCTGTGGCTTTGTGTGACGTCACGGGATGCACATGTGTAGGCTCATACCTCTGCCCCGCTCTCACTCGGCGGTAGACCATTCAGCAGACAGGCAAGGCGGTGGGCTCCATCCCTCATCATCTCAGACTGACAATATAAGTTACCATCCAACAAGTGTGTCTACCTTCAACCTACGATATCTCCATTTAAGAACCCTTACGATACAGAGGTCACCTCAGGAAGCAGCTTAGATAAATATTTACACACACACGAGCTATTAAATCTCTGCACCAAATTCACTTTAAACCAGTAAATATTAGATCCTACAAGACTAGAAAATACGCTGGAGGTCATCTTCATTAACCACGACGATTTGATAGGTAATATAACTGTATCAAAGACAATTCACTCAAATCACAACATAATAGAGGTACAGACATGTATGCTCAGGGCTCCTGACCAGCAAAATGTGATCAGTCATGAGGGTGTCTTCACAAAATTCAGCTTCAATAACAAAAACATACAATGGGAACAAGTCAACCAAGTCCTAAATAAAACAAGCCGAGGTCTGCTCAAGGCACATTCCATTAAGAAAAAGAAAGAGAAGATGTAAACTAGAAAGAAAGAGACGCTCCTTATACAGACGAAGGCAAAGAATCACAGAGCTGCTGAGAGGGGCCAATATATCTGAAATATGAAGGGAGGCACTGGTCAGAGAAATAGCAAATATCGAACCTAAGCTTAAGGAATCTTACAGGAGACAAGAATCTTAGGAAGAACTAAAAGCCATAAAGGAAAATGAAAAAAATACTTCTTCTCTTATGCCAAATCTAAGGGTAAAATAACATCCAGTATTGGGCCCCTGCTCAGGCGAGATGGGACCTACACAGATGACAGCCAAGAAATGAGTGAGATACTAAAGTCCCAATACAACTTCTTTATGAATTCTTTATGACCGAGACTCAAAAATTGGTCATCTAAAAAATCTCTGATATTTTCCTAACACCACAAGACTTTGAAAAGGAAATAAATGACACGCCCGTGCACTCTGCCCCAGGCTCATGGAACTCCGTGTTCATCAAGGACTGCAAGAAGCCCCTGTCACGTGCCTTCAGCATTCTATGGAGAGGGAACATGGACACAGGGGTCATCCCACACTCACTAAAAACAACAGACATAGCCCCATTATGGTGGGGCTATGTCTAAGGTGGCAGTAAAACAATTGCAAAGAACTACAGACCGATAGCACTAACTTCCTAAATCCTAATAATCAAGATCGCCAACCAATGAAAAGCCGGGGTCGCCACGAGTACACTGAGAGACAATACAGTAAGTGTCAGGGGCCCAAGACTATTCAACTGCCTTCCAGCATATATAAGGGGAATTACCAATAGACTCCCGGCTGCTTTCAAGAAGGCACTGAACAGGCACCTAAAGTCATTACCTGACCAACCGGACTGTGGTTCGTACGTCAGTTTGCGTGCTGCCAGCAGTAACAGCCTGGTCGATCAGACCCTGATCCACCACTAGGCTAGATCTCAGACAAGGGGCGGGGGCGTTGACCCCCGAAACCTTCTCCAGGTGTACTCCAGGTCAGATGACCAAAAGCTCCAGCTGTAGGTCATCCTACGACCCTCGTCAGGAAACACTTATCCTGTTTCCTCACAAACTTAACCTAACTTAGTGTAAGTTACACCTCTTAGTGTAAATATACTGAGAGTCTACTCTACGAGCTTTTAAACCTCTGCACAAAATTCAATTTAAACCAGCAAATAATAGAGCCTACTAGACTGGAGAATACACTAGACCTCATCTTCACTAACAATGATGATCTGATAAGAAATGTCACCATATCAAAAACAATATACTCAGATCACAACATAATTGAGGTTCAGACATGTATGCGTGGAGCCCCAGACCGACATAATGAGACTAGTCACGAGGGAGCATTCACCAAATTCAACTTCAATAACAAAAACATAAAGTGGGACCAAGTAAACCAAGTCCTAACCGATATAAGCTGGGAAGATATACTAAGCAACACAGACCCCAACTTATGCCTAGAACAGATTAACTTGGTGGCACTCGATGTATGCACAAGGCTTATTCCTCTAAGAAAAAGGAGGAGTAGATGTAAAATAGAAAGAGACAGGCGCTCCCTTTACAGGCGACGGAAAAGAATAACAGAGCGGCTAAAAGAGGTCAATATATCTGAAATGGGTAGGGAGACACTGGTCAGAGAAACAGCAAGCATCGAACTTAAGCTAAAGGAAACTTATAGGAGTCAGGAATCGCGAGAAAAACTAAAAGCCATAAATGAAATCGAAAGAAACCCAAAGTATTTCTTCTCCTATGCCAAATCAAAGTCGAGAACAACGTCCAGTATTGGGCCCCTACTTAAACAAGATGGGTCCTACACAGATGACAGCAAGGAAATGAGTGAGCTACTCAAGTCCCAATATGACTCAGTTTTTAGCAAGCCGCTAACCAGACTGAGAGTCGAAGATCAAAATGAATTTTTATGAGAGAGCCACAAAATTTGGTTAACACAAGCCTATCCGATGTTATCCTGACGCCAAATGACTTCGAACAGGCGATAAATGACATGCCCATGCACTCTGCCCCAGGGCCAGACTCATGAAACTCTGTGTTCATCAAGAACTGCAAGAAGCCCCTATCACGAGCCTTTTCCATCCTATGGAGAGGGAGCATGGACACATGGGTCGTCCCGCAGTTACTAAAAACAACAGACATAGCCCCACTCCACAAAGGGGGCAGTAAAGCAACAGCAAAGAACTACAGACCGATAGCACTAACATCCCATATAAAAATCTTTGAAAGGGTCCTAAGAAGCAAGATCACCACCCATCTAGAAACCCATCAGTTACACAACCCAGGGCAACATGGGTTTAGAACAGGTCGCTCCTGTCTGTCTCAACTATTGGATCACTACGACAATTTCCTAAATGCACTAGAAGACAAAAAGAATGCAGATGTAATATATACAGACTTTGCAAAAGCCTTCGACAAGTGTGACCATGGCGTAATAGCGCACAAAATGCGTGCTAAAGGAATAACAGGAAAAGTCGGTCGATGGATTTATAATTTCCTCACTAACAGAACACAGAGAGTAGTCGTCAACAGAGTAAAGTCCGAGGCAGCTACGGTGAAAAGCTCTGTTCCACAAGGCAATATGCTCGCTCCCATCTTGTTCCTCATCCTCATATCCGACATAGACAAGGGTGTCAGCCACAGCACCGTGTCTTCCTTTGCAGATGACACCCGAATCTGCATGACAGTGTCTTCCATTGCAGACACTGCAAGGCTCCAGGCGGATATCAACCAAATCTTTCAGTGGGCTGCAGAAAACAATATGAAGTTCAACGATGAGAAATTTCAATTACTCAGATATTGTAAACACGAGGAAATTAAATCTTCATCAGAGTACAAAACAAATTCTGGCCACAAAATAGAGCGAAACACCAACGTCAAAGACCTGGGAGTGATCATGTCGGAGGATCTCACCTTCAAGGACCATAACATTGTATCAATCGCATCTGCTAGAGAAATGACAGGATGGATAATGAGAACCTTCAAAAACTAGGGAGGCCAAGCCCAATGATGACACTCTTCAGGTCACTTGTTCTATCTAGGCTGGAATATTGCTGCACACTAACAGCACCTTTCAAGGCAGGTGAAATTGCTGACCTAGAAAATGTACAGAGAACCTTCACGGTGCGCATAACGGAGATAAAACACCCCAATTACTGGGAGCGCTTGAGGTTCCTAAAACTGTATTCCCTGGAACGCAGGCGGGAGAGATACATGATTATATACACCTGGGAAAATCCTAGAGGGACTAGTACCGATCTTGCACACGAAAATCACTCACTACGAAAGCAAAAGACTTGGCAGACGATGCAACATCCCCCCAATGAAAAGCAGGGGTGTCGCTAGCACGTTAAGAGACCATACAATAAGTGTCAAGGGCCCGAGACTGTTCAACTGCCTC